TTGATTGGTGGTGCTCCATGTGCATAACTTAAAAGCAGTAGGTTTTTGTTTGTTATATTGTGGATATGGAATTTTTACCATCTTAGGCTCATGCCGTGGTAAGTTTTGTCTGATACTTTTTATTTAAACTTTTGGATTGTAATGTTGCTGCTGTCCACTATGGGAGTTTCCATTTTTTCCAAGAGTATTATATATTTAGTGTTTCATAAATTCAGGATTGGTACCGACAAAATGTTAGGTGTTCGAGCATGGTAGTGGGGCTCTACAAAGTCCAGCAGGATTGGTACCGACAAAATGTTCGAATGAATTTGAGCCAAAGTTTAAACATGTTTGAATGAATTAAGTTGAAATTCAGTTTAACCATGCTAGGTGTTCGAGCAAATGTCTGATTGAACAAAAAGGGTCGGTTGGACAATCGGTCGGCCAATCAGCCACTCTGTCTAACTGTGAATGTTCAAAATGGTGTTTGAGCAAATGTTAAAAGTGATTTTTGTTGCATTAAAAAAAAAAAAAAAAAAACCAACACACACACACATAGAAAGCCCACCCATAAATCCACACACATCACATACTCATTTTAATGGTTAAGTTTGAATTTTTTAGTGCACTCTAACTGTTTGTTTTTTTGCTCGTTAGCACACCGACAGTCTATCCCTTCTTTTTATAATACATTTGTTCACATTTTTTGGTGGTGCTAAAAAAATTGACAGTCCGACGAATGGTAGTGCAATCGACGACGCACTCAGATGCCTTTATAATGGGTGTTCAAATTGGGGTTTTTTAATTTGTATTTATATTCATTATTTGATTATTTCATGTATAATAACTATGTACAGTGTCTTCAGACACGTGATATAGGATGAGTTTAGACTTTTAATTTAGTACGTGTCCGAGTTCAGGACTTAATTATTTCGCATTTAAATTCAATGTTCAATTTTTTTTAATTGTATCGTACCTTCAGACACAAGTTATATCTAGTAAGTAAATAAATTAAACCCAAAAAATATACTTACTATATTTATCTTTATATTTACTACGCTCCAAACCCATGTGGTTAGAAAAGTTGAACTAAACTAAACGATATGACAAAATTGTATGACCGTTTTACCCTTGTCAAATTAACTTAACGGTTAACTTTTCTTGAAATTTATATTTATTAATTATTACCCTTTATGTGAAGTTGACAAGCATGCCATTGTAACGTATCTACCAACTCCCGTTTGAAAACTTTCAGTCAACTACTAGTTTGACAAAAATATTAAAATTTCCACTTTACCCTTTGGTCAAATTGAAAAAAAATAACCGATCCATTCACTTACGACCGATAATCGAGTCGAGCTATCCGATCTCTGTTTAGATTCAATTAAAACTTGAATCGAGTTTAACTCGTGTTTTAAACGAGTCACGAATTTGAATAATTTTTTAAGTTCATTTAAAAAAACAAGTCTAGAAAAACTCGATTTATTTATATGTAAAATAGTCGAGTTATTTGAAGTTGACTCGGGCTCAATTCATTTTTTAAAAGAATCAAATTTAAATAATTTTTTAAACCTGTTGTTTAAAATGAGTTCAACATATTTGACTCAATTATTAGCCTACCCACATCTATGTTTTCTCATAATGTTGCATCAAGTAATCTTGATGAGCATGTCTAATCCTATGTGTTGAGCCATGGGCGATTTAGTGTGGGGGCAATTGGCCCGCTGAAATTTTGAAAATTTGTAGACTACATTTAATAGTTTAAACAACTTTTAAATTTTTGATAATTTGTCCCCACTATGAAAGCTGAAAGAATCTACTTAACATAATTTGAGTTTTTTTGCATGGTGATTTTCAGAAGTTCAAGTGTACTCGTCCATGGAGGATGGAGGTGCAAGGTTGAAGATGAGTGCTCTTTACGCGTGAATCATGTTTGCCTTCTGTTTTGGAAATGCAAAACAATGTCCAACATAAGTAATAGGTTTTGTATTGGCAAGTTGTCCACCGTTAGATCATTAAGATCATCTGTAGATCATTTTTGAGATGACTAGCTGTCCATGTCAGCCACTTTGTAAGAGTCGGCTAAAACTTTGTCTTTTGTCCGTGAAATATCATATGAAAATGGGTTTGTGGTTTAAAATTTTGATTTAATTATTAAAAATTTATTATAATAATTAAATTAACGTTAAATTCAAATATTTAGTGGAATTTATAGTCAATTTAATAATTAAAATAAATTAGATTAATAAATTTTGTCTCAGTAGCCTTGCTCATATTTATACTTATAAATTTGACAATTTATTAATATAATGAAGTGATTTAATTATAATTATTATAATAACATCAAATTTTAATATTTAATATGTCCCACAATCAATTCAATTATTATAGTGAAAAAGTTGAAAAATTAAATTTCAATAACATTGTCGCCCAGATATATAAGCAAGTGACATTAGATTAGGGAGCGATAAAGCTTACTCTCAAGGGATTAAATCTACTAGCTTGAGCACCAATTTTTCCTTACACCTCGGCAAATCAATTAATCGATTCAATCTTATTTCCTATCATTTTTCTCCTCTATTGACAATGATATTCTATGACTTACGGTTCAATTGAACATTTAGAGATTGTTAATCTTTTGGTTGGCTCTTTTGGTACATCATTACATGGGTTGTGCCTTCCCTTAACATTTTTTAATGATAATATACCTATAATAAAAATGATTAAAATTTAATTTTTTGTCATGAAAATAGTACTAAAATTATAATTTTAATTTATTAACGAGTCTAAGATGCCCCCACTGGCACTGCACGAGGGAATGTTTGTTTATTGTCTTTGTTGTGTTTTGTGTTTTTGTTTTTAATTTTTGTCAAAAATAAAAACAAAAACATATGTGGGTATTATTTTTATTTTTATTTTACATTAGTTATTTTTGTTTTACATTAGTTATTTGAGAACAAAGACAAAAAATAAAAACAAAAAATTTATATTTTACGAAACACGCAAAACACAAAACATACATTTATTGATTAAATGAGATCTCAACTTCGAGTGTTTTACACACAAAAGACTCGAAATTGAGACCTCCTTTTTCAAAGTATAAATAGGGGTGTTTTTTCTCCTCTGCATAGATCGACCCACTCTCTTCTCCTCCACTCTCAGCGACTCTCTTTCTTCTCCGGAGCTCTCAAAGACTTTCTCTTCTCCTCTCTCTCTCAACGACGAAGTCGAACCGACGGTGCTCTGCCAACGAAGACGAACCGAAACCCTCTCTCTCTCTTGCTTGCTAACTGTGAAACCCAGAAATGAAGATACAGATTTGCGCATATATGCACAGATATGTGCATATTTTTGCACAAATCTGTGCATATTTACAAAGATCTGTGCGTGTGACAGAGTGACGGGTCCATGTGTGTGTGTGTGAGTGAGTGACGATGTGGATGAAAGAGGGTTTCGAGCAAAGACAAGGGGTTGGTTGATGCAGGTTGCAAGTATGGAGATGAGTTATGGTGCTGGTGCTGTCTAGCAGAGAATGCAGTCTAGGTATTCCAAGCATTTTAGAACAGAAGCATTTGTACAGAAAATTTGATTGGGCTGTTATAGAACAGAACTTCTGTTTTTTTTTTGTAAAAATTTTTCTGCTTCATGTTTTGTTCAAACAGTTTCTGTTTGTTTTTTATTCTTGTAATTCATGGAATTTATTCAATAAAATTTTCTCTTTCCTAAAAAAAAAAAAAAGATGGATTAATATAGAATAATATAGATCTTTGATGAATTTTTGTATTAGAATTTTGTTGTATAATATATTATAAAACATATTTAGAATAAAACGTGAAGTAGTTATCAAATATATTTTGTTTTTTATTCTCATAATTTGATAGACAAAAATGACACTCAAACATATTTTTATTTAAGTGTTTATCACAAAATAGAGACAAAAATTATCTCGATTTTTGATTGTTTTAAAGACATGTGTTGAGCTCCTAATTTTTGTAAAGGAAAATGTTATTTGTACTTAAAAATTTGACATAATTTAATAATCTAATGACGTGGCTTTATTATAACTATTGAATTAACATCAAATTTTAATATTTAATGAAACTCATAATTAATTTAAAATTTATAATGAATTAAGTCAGCAAGCAATCACAAGGAAGATTTAGATGGTTATTATTCTCTGTCCAATATCGTCATTTTCTTTTTTGCTTGATTGCTTGAGAATCCAGTAAAATTCAATTGGTCTCATTATGCAGCAGGTATTTGCGTTTCATATTTCAACGTAATGCAGCTTTTTGTGCTCTTTACCATTTATACGAGGGACGGTTGTTCTACTCAATATCTGACTACAAACATTGAGCAAGTGAAAAAACACCTGCAAACTGACAACCCCCACCCCAAAACAAAAAAAAACAAAAAAAAAACCACCTACAAAACTTAGCGGTGAATGTTTCTCCTTAGAGCAATGATGTGCACAACCTCAAATTCATCAGCTAACGTGTCATAATCACAATCATCGGATATTTAATAAAATTAATGAAACTCGTTGATTTAATGACCCACATTAAGGTGATATATAAAAGTGATGTAAAAAGATAGTGGATGTAGCATTATTCTTCTCATAAAGTAAGGATTTTATGGTAAGAAGCAAGGGCAACAAAAAAATGAATGTATTTACTCAACTTCTGAAAAAATTTTAGTATGTTTCGGGAAAAGAAATATGAAAGCTAAGTATATTCAAATGATTCGATAATGTAAAACTAATTAGACTAAATTTACTGATAAAATACGTTTATGTAAGATGGTTGGCCTATTTCGATACGAGGACTTGTTGCTAATATAATAATTTTATTGGTGCCACAATCTCAAGTATAATCTTACGTATGAAAGATGTATATACGAAATTAGATTTAAATCGATGTCAAGTGTTTATTTGTTCAAACGAATGGATTTCTCGGTACACAGCAGGCATTAGGCCTGACTTATGAGGATTTGCACAAGGACTAGAGAAGAACAACCCATCATCAAAGTACACAACAGGCATTAGGGTTCTCCTCATCTAATGGATTTCTCAGTTTGTCAAGAAGTGACTCGTTAGCATATGGGTTTTGGTATTCGAATGGCACATATCCACTATTGTTTCTTTCCATCATGCCTCCACCATCTCTGCCACAATCACCACAAGCCTTTCTCTCTCCGCCCCACTTTCCTTGCTCACCACCACTATCGCCATCGCCGCCGCCGCCACCACTGCCACTGCCTTTTTGATTCTTCTCGTTTCCACTTGCTTTGTTGGGGGGCACAATCTCTTTAGGCAGAGCTCCAGATCTGTTTCCTTCCATCATGCCTCCACCATCTCTCACATTATTATCAGAAGCTTTGCCATCTCCGCCTCCCTTCATTTGATCGCCCCCGCCACTGCCACTTTCATTCTTCTCGTTGCCACCACCTTTTTTTGGGGGCACAATCTCGACTGTTTTCTTTAGCTTCTTGTTTATTGTCTCCACCAGAGCCTTCACATCCATGGTTCCAGTTATTTTGATCATAAAATTTTTCCGGTCTATAGAGACCTCTTGGTATCCTGTAACGCCATTAACTACCTATTATGTCCCCAAGAAATATTTCTCAATATAGCCTTGAAAAATTGAATGTAACAAAACAACACGGAAAATGTTACTTGATTTGAGGATGTGTTTGTTATATTTGTTATTGATTTAAGAGTAATGTTATACCGATTAAATTTTAAGATCAAATTTAGATTTTAAATGACATGACAGCTGACTTGAACTTCTTTTTTTGGTGCCATGTTATTTGAACCCCAATAAAAATTTTAAATAATATGTTGTCATGCCATTTGGATTCCAAATTTGGTCAATGTAGCATTCCTCTTAATCTAATTATGAGTCTTAGTATTTATTCGGACTCACTACCTATTCAATGATAGTGATTTATCAAGTCAATTTTTTAAGTCTGTATAACATTGCTCAAAAGAACACATCTATTGCCGTAAGAAAAATGTAATTTGGACTTATTTTTGATAACCTAATTTAGAGACCTAATCAATTAATTACAGTTGTTAAATTAAAAGTGAGTTTCATTTAATTTTGAAATTAATAACTAATCTAATGACTACGTCCTTATAACATTGTTCCCTAGATAAATACGAAAGCAACCCCCAATTATTTCTCAATTTTAAAATATCCCAATTAACTTCTAATTTTAGTTCTTAAACTATGTAAATGGTAACATTAATTCAGCCGCTTCCAATTTTTCAATAACATCAATGGACAAACCCCCAACACTTATGTCAATTTGCAGAATAGTCATCTAATTTTTTTTTACTTATTATTTATTCTAACAATTAATCAAATGGAAAGGGATGATTACGATGATTTTCACGTGTTAGAATTAAATTGAGATGATCGTAAATTAAAAAATGATATTAAAACCCATGCCAGAATTTAGGGAAATGCATCTATGATATTTAATCCTAGCAATATTACCTTGGCTCTTCATTATAATTTTCATAATCGTTTGCATGCTCTTGTCGTCGAAGTCTGGACTCAGCTTCAGCACTGTGATTGGAGGCTGAAAAAACAATAACCCAAAACAACTTCTAAAGTTAATTAAAAGAAGAATCTTCTGAATGAAACAACAAAGGTAGTTAATTAATTAACGTTAGCTTAAATGCTCAGCTGCATGGCTAATGTGGCCTGTATCGTGAACCGCAAGTAATTGAACTCTTAAGCTCTGAACCATGAGTAAATATGAACGAAGTTCAAATAACCTCTTTGGATTTGCTATTATCTTGCTTGTTCTGTTGCTTATCTTCAATGTTCTTCTTCTTCTCCCATTCCCCACCAACCTTCTCAGTTTCTTTGCCCTTATTTTTGTCCTTGTTTGGCAAAGGAGAAACGAGTTCCACCTTCTTCTTCTGTTTCTGCTGAATTTTTTCACAGAGTTTCAATGGATCCACTTCTCCCACCACTGCAAACATCTTGTCACCGTCGAATGATTTCACTGATTTAACACCTTCACACAGAATCACAGATCCAAAACAAGTCAGCGAAGATTGCGATCTATCGGGTGACAAAATTGCTGCAAGACCTCAAAATTCACTGGATCGCATTTTTTATTTGTTTTTTGTTTTCATAGTCGATCTATATCTATATCTATACTACTAATAAAAGTACACTATTAAAAAAAACTTTTGATTGACTATTTTAACTCTAAAATAATATATAAAGACAATATTAACCTTATTAATGTTAAAATTTTAATTGGACAACTTAACTCTCACAATACTAACATTATTAATATAAAATTTATATTAACCCTAAAATAATATATAAAGACAATACTAACCTTATTGATGTTAAACTTTTAATTGGACAACTTAACTCTCACAATACTAACATTGTTAATATAGAATTTATACTAATAAAGCTTCATTAATATTACACATAGTCAAGCCTTTCATATTCTTTCTTTTAAAAGATAAAAATTAATTGTTAAAATAATTAAATTTACTATTATTTATTTCTATCTATTTTCATTAATTGATGAGAAGTTTCTGAATTTTTAAATGAAATTGAATAAATGCACTAGAGTCTTTTTTAATATAAGATTTATTTCAATATAATTTGAATAATATTATCAAACCCTTACTTTTTATTTTCTTCTCTTTTATGTTTTAGTTTTAATAAATCCTCTTTAGTTATATTTATTGGTAATACTTAGAAGCCATTTTTTTTGTATCGATTATCAATGCTACGAATATGTTCAATATTACATTAAATTACTTATTACAACTTAAATTTTTAAATTTGCTCAACTAAATATTATAATTAAATGACCACTATAACTTAAAATCATTCGCTTATGTATTTTTCATAATTTAATAAGTATTTGTGATACTTTTTAGTTATATATATACACATACTATAAAATATATTTGTACCATTACTATGATGTTGCAAATAAAATTAATCTAAATAATTAACTTCATGTGAAAAGTTATAAACTTTAAGGGTAGAGATTTACAAGAAGGTAATTCGTCAAACTTAAGAGAAAATAAAACAAAAAAAATTATTATTCGTTCGTTCAACAAATATGTAGTATTATGTCCATAATAAATTACACAAATTAAATAATAGAAATATTCAAAAAGGCTAGATTTATAAGTAGATATTTGCTATTATATTTATTTAATTATTTCAAAAACAAAATTATAAGTTAAAAAGTCCACATGCAAAACACGTGTGCACGATCTAGTCCATACAAAGAAATAAAAAGATAATCTTATAATCTATATACTTAGCTCCTAACTCCTAAGGACATAAAGCAGACCAATAATTCGTATGTAATAATTCAATATAATGCTATGTAATTATACCTTCAATACTCCGAATATATTTTATGATTTTGGCGGCACAACCAGCACACGTGCAATGCATGTCGATTTTGAGAATCACAGTAACACTTCCATCCTTTTGTTATTGAGATTGCCCTGCAAAACCGACAACAAAGACAGTGAGAGAGAGAGAGAGATGAAGGTGGCATAGGACTTCAGGACTCACCTCTGCCATCGTGATACTTCAGGTTTGGATTGAATTTGAATGCATGAAGTGCAACAGAGAACATGAGGATTATTTAAAGATTGGATGATATTACAATTAACTGTTGCAACTTTGAAGTAACGCCTCTATAACAGAAGATAAAGTACAACATAGGGGTGAAGGGAAGTCTGAAATAAAGCACAATAGAACCCCCAAATAAGAAAGAGTTTAAATTCTATCATGTGAATCAAAAGGTTTACGTATAATCAATGACTTCTTGACACATCAGCAAGATAATTAAAAAAAGGCAAAAACACTTAAACACTAACTTAAATTAGTTTGCAAGCAATCAATTGGGTTGCACTAACTATGGTTAACTCAAACATGGTTCGGTTGACTCGCACAAATAAAGAGCAATAACAAAAGAATCAGCTGTTTTCAACCAAAAGCTTTGTCTTCTCCGGATCCATCGAACTTCATCTTCTCCGGCATCCTCCAACCTCATCAGAAAAAATAAATTTGGGATCTTACTTAGACTCAAAATCAAGTGTTCAACGAGAACCAAGGACTAAAACTACAAAGTAAATATCTGAATACACCGAATGTTTTTAAAAGTTAAAAATTTCACAACCATTCTCTTTTAAATAGGTGAGGCACAATTATAAATTTGCTAAAAAACCCAATAGATTGATTCTTATCTTCAGTCAAACATTCAAGAAAGGGGAAGGTTATTGCTAGCAATATATTCAAGGCTTTCAATGGCCATTTATGTTACGGAATATTTCCCCACATTTGCAGAATAAAAAAAATGACAAATGGAATTACAGTTGGATGGTGGAATATTGTCGTTCCAGAGAAGATGAAGTTTGATGGTTCAAAGACTCCAAAGGATTGTTTCCTTATTTTTTTCAACCCAAACCACATTATATTAACTAGAGTTGGTGGGTATAAAAGTTTGGTGGCGGTTTCGACTCGTTTAACCTGTTTAATTTTTTAAAAAAATTATATCTACAAATTTTAATACATCACTTTTTTTTTACTGTCAATTGTACTTACATCAAAAAAAAGGAATTTTTAGTCAAATCTCATAAAAATAAGATTTGAAGACGTTAAAAAAAAAAAAAAGAGGTCATTGGTTTTTATAGGCAACTCAACCCTCCCCATCTTCCCTTATTTTTCAATGTGGAACAAAAACAAAAGACATTAGTTTGCCTTTGTTTTTGAAGTGCTCCTCATCTCATCTCCTTTGTCGTTAAACTACTATTTTACTTCTTTTTTTCTTGTTATTTTTTAAAAATAATTATTAATTTATTATTATATTAATTTTATTTAAACGGATAAATGTATAATAAATGGTTTGACAAATCTCACTCAAACACAACCCGTTGATTAAACGTGTTTGGCGTGTCAATCCGTTTATTACTCAAACCCGTTAAAATCTCATACAAACCCGCTTAATTCGTATTGATTTGTGTCGATTAATCGTGTTATGTCTGATTTTGACAACCATAATCAAGGGTAACTAACTTAAGTTGACTTGGTTACTTTTCTACGTAAACATGTAATTAAAGTTTGTATTGGATGTACATTTATCATAATTTCCCATAGTAATTTGACAAAATTCGAATAGAATGATGCAAAATTAGAATTTTTAGCAGAATTATTACGAGAATGACGTAGTTGCTATTTTTGTGAATTTTGCAACACTAGTAGTTTGTTTTGGTTTGAAAGCAAAGAATGTTGGTAGTTCACATCATCCACTTAAATAATACGCTTGTGTATTCGAATTCAAAAATCAATTTGTCTAAAATATAACGATAATGTTATCTATGGTTCAATTCTTTTTTTGGGTAGATAAGTAAATTTTAGTTGAAAAAAGATATGCATCATACCTGACATACCCCTCCGAGACTAGGAAGAGTAAGGCCACTTCATAACCCGGTCTATCCCGTATGATTATTTATAAATATAAATTCAAATCATGAGAATACACACTAGTCGAGGAATACCCATTGCTTTTTTTGATCAATGGGAATACCAATTGCTCAATCAAAGGTGTCTACGACTTATTACTTCTATCACACGTCATTATAATCAAGAATTTTGTGTATTTGATATGATCTTTTTAACGCCCTTGCAAAATATGGCCACCACAAAAATATACACCACCCTTTCACTGCACGTATAATGTGTTTTGGGCCTTTTTTTTCAATAAATATATTTTTTGTTTTTTTTTAATAAAAGCATCTCTAAAAGCAAAATAAGACGACTCTCATCTTATTTTGCTTGGGTATTAAGCAAGAAAAAAAGTTGTTTTAGTTATATGTATCTATGTCGGTACGTCGTTTTAACTTTAGAGGCCAATAAACTGACATTTTATGGTGTCTTGTTTTACCATTTATGTGCAAAGTACCACATCTCCTACTTCCCCCCCCCCCCCCCTCCCCCCCAAAAAAAAAACATGATTATAAAAAGATCGCGCTAGTTGTATAATGATCTTGCTTGTAATAGTGTCTAGAGGAGATAATAAGCATTAAATAATCTTTATCTCCAAGTAAGAATGGTTCATTTCCAAAATACAAAAACATGACAAATGGTAAAACATAAATCTTGTAAGCTTCTTTAATCATTTGAGTATCAAGATCGTGCTTACGAAGAAAGGGTAACTTATGAACTTGGATTGGTCAAGTTAATTTTTAAAGCTCAATAAGAGGGTGAATAAAGAAGAGATAATGTTTATTCAGAGGTATTTTTTGCTTAGACTGAATTTACAGGCTGAGAATTCCTTTAAGAAAGGAAAGCCGAATAAATTAACAACAGAAAAATATGTGATAAAAATAAGTGATTAAAAAAATAAAATTCAGGTTCGATCATCCAAAATTCGGGGGTGCAATGTGAGTCGTACACAACGCGCTCAATTAATTGGTTTTCTAAAAAGTCTGCCCAAATTCCATGGTCCTCTACTTGTGCTCGTAGCCCACAATTGCTAAGACCTTCTAGTACAATACTATATGGAGTGAAACTTTTGGTTCTTTAATTAATGTGACATAGAAGTAACGATGAATGATGACTATAGTATTCAATTTAAATGGGTACAGGACAAGGGAATTTAGCTTTTTCAATTATACTATCTTAACTCAAGATTTACATCAAAAAGATTGAAATGTCCTCTGGGTGTAAACCCGTCCATGTTTACTGTTATTAGCAATGCATCACATGCATTGTACGTAAATGTTTTCGTTAAAATAATTGATAAAATACATAAAAATTTAATTATATGATTAAATTAGATTTTATCTCTTATTTATTATATTTAAATTATTTATATTGTGGATGAACAAAAAAATATACATATATCGATTTTGTAGCACTAAAAAAATATTATATCAATGAAGTTATCAATGTATATTAATATTAGGGTTTTGAGAAAAAAAAAATATTTTTATATATCCTGTTAAAAGTAACATTACCATC